AAAACCGTTGTCTAGCAACAGATGTCTCTGTTGTTTTCTGAATGCACTCTTCCGGCATTCAGGCGTCATGTCACAATACGTACATAAGGTTAATACTTACTACTCGTATACTGCCGTTTTACATAATCACCGTCATAACTGGCAGTAATTATGAATAGGAAGGAAGATGAGAGCCATACACCATAGAGGAACGTACCCTTCACTCGGCAACGCAATATCCAAATTCTCTTAAAAACCTTCACAGCGTACATCTAAAAAGCAGCTCCTCTTAATGTTTATTGTTGCTCTATGTGGTCAGTGTTCTAGTAAATGTATCTGTCCTTTCCGCAACTTTTCTACGTTTTTTTTTTATTTTGCTTAGTGGGGGGTGGAGTCCAACTGGGTACCCTCAAGGCAGCCACTGATTGTCCAATTGTAGCCTCCCCCGGGTGATTATGATGATGGAGAATTTGGTGGAATGAAGATTGGCAGGGGAAACCAAAGTACTCGGAGAAAACCCGCCCCAGCGCCACTTTGTCCACCACAAATCTCACTTGAGCAGACCCGGGATCGAACCCGGGCCGCCGCGGTGGGAAGCCAGCGACTGACCGCTTGAGCCATGGCACGGCCTTACTTTTCTACTTACTGTGGTTCAGGTATTTTTAACAAAATTTGTTAATAGAGTAATATTGCATACGCATAGAAATTGAATGCTGAAGATTCTATACTGAATTTGATAACCGTAACAATTTCAACAGGTTTCTATGAAGATTAAGCACACAACCTTTATTTGCTTGAACTTTATGAAGACCAAGGGCTACCAGGAGGGGTGTAAGGGGAAGATGTCAATCTTCAAGAAGAACAGCGTCGACTTGTGCTAATCCCTCGCTTGCGGCTTGCTGTCTTCATTACAAAGAGAGACCTTTAGAATTCAGACGGAGGATTCTAGGGGTTTAAACCTTGCACTATTGCGTCAGAGACACGATCGTAAAAAAAAAAAAACATTGACAACATTAACAGCACAGAGTTGTCTCCATTCGAGATTTATCCCACAAGTATTGTGTCTGTCCGAAAGTAAGGCAAATTCAATTTTTGAACTTCGAAATGAACGAAAGATTTTGGACCTCACATTTACCAAAGGTAAGGTGAGAATATGAATAGTGTGTTTGATAACAGGAATATTTGTGACCAAAGGAGGAGGAGGAGATAAGAGGAGGGCGAGAAAATTTCTTAAAGTGAAACGTCACAGTTTTCACCCTTCTTCACATGTTATGAAGTTCATCACATTAAGAATAATGAGATGAGGGTGAATTAATTTGCAAAGAAGGGGAGAGACATGCGTACAGAATTTTAATTGGAAAACCTGAATAGAAGACACCGCTTGGGAGACCGAAGCGTGGGAAATGGGCTCTCAAGAAATAGCTTATAAATATGTGGACATATTCATTCGGCTGATAACACGAATGTACTGCAGGGATCTTGTGAACACCACAATTAAACTTTTAATTCCATAGTAGATGGGAAATTTCTTGACCAGATGAAGGCCTGTTAGCATCTGAAGAGAGGCTGTACTCCATGGAGTTAGCTGGACGAAATACACAGAACCGTCCATAATACAGTCAACATCTACAAGTTCTCTTTCAAAATGTTATATTATAACAAAAATGTTAATCTCATAAGGATTAACGTCTATTGTATTATATTTCAGCTCCTGTTGCATTGATTTCAATTATTTTATCAATGTGCTTGTCACGGTAGCCGACCGGGCTAGAGCATGCACTGTCTTCGTTCGCTCGGAAACCGGGATTATTGGTTCGAATCCCACTCAGGGAATGGATGTTTAGTGTTTGTGTGTGCGCGTGCGCTTTTCTGTGTTTGTGTACAGGTAGAGGTTTTGCGACTAGCTGATCACCCGCCCAAGGACTCCTTCCTAATATCTAGGATATAGTGAACCGAAGTGAAACGGAAAGTTTCATAGAAGTAGGCCAAGACCCAAAATTGGGGCTGTAGGGCCAAGGAAAAAATCATATAAATATAGACATATTGTATATACATTCTGTATTGTGACAGAAATATACGTTGGCGAAATAACGGCTATTGTACGACTTTTGCTGAGAAAGCAGCTTACTGGTTTGATTTTAAAAATTTATGCCTTATTCGTGCTCTCCACTAATATACTACACAAAACGTTATCACTAAGCAGGCAGTTTTTATAAAACTGCATCTGTTCGTGTTTTTCTTTCAAGGTGTGCAATTAGCAGTCACAGACTTTCTTGTTTTTTATTTATAACTACACACAGGTGTAGAGACAAATAAGTAAGCATAAGTAAGAACCAGAAAGAAAACTTTTTTTAACAAATGTGCTTGGGTACAATCACTAGGCTACGATCACAAACGCTGACAAAGCAGGAACTTACATTTACTGATTTTTGTTTTTTCGAGTAACTCAGTAGTTTCTGCAGTTGCATATTTAATATACTAACGAAAATATCAATATTTTATAGTTATAAATAATTTTAATCTTAAAATACATATTCCCCTACCAATTTATATCCCTGTGATTCTTTCTTCACCTTAAGTTCCTTATTCTCAGGTCCTGTGATCATGCTGAAGCAGATATACTCGTATCAGAAATATTCCGACGTTTATATTTCAATTCGGTTTTATTAATTATGACGTCTCTAGTCCTGTAGTTTACTGTCTAAGAAGAATAGTTTCACCCAAAATAGAGAAAATAATAGGAGAAAATGTATGTGGGGAGCTCCATGATATAAGTCCTTCACCAATGTGATCAAGTAAAGGAGGCTGATATTGTTACGACATGAAGCACGGATGAAGAAGTAGGTTTTGGTCAGACAACGTGAAGGGATAGATCCTTTGCTACGTATAAATGATGAGGAAAAGATAATATTTTAATGACGCTGATGTAAATAGAACGTGTGCTGCTTTCATCTGGCTCAGGGTAGGCCCAGGCGATACTGACCCAACAGGATGGTCTAGCGGTAAATTTGTAATTTGTTTTCGAGAGATGCCAGCTATCCTGAGTGAAGTTTTTCTTGAAACTTCTCGATCTCGTTGGCCGAATTCCCACAGGCCACAATCATTTTCAAATAGTTTTAAACTCATCTTTCATGAGTCATACTACTAAAGTAAAAATCTGTCTATCTATGGATCTACATCCCCTTTTGTGGCCTTGGCCGCTTTTTCACTTTCTCGATCCTATACACAGCCGGTAGGACTCCTTATACAGGGGATTAGCCAGTTGCAAGGCCGCTGCCTGCAAACAGGACGGGACAAACACAGAATAAACGTACACAGACATCTACGCCTCAAGTGGGATTCGAACCCACGAGGCCAGTGTTCTGCTGGTTATATACTATCCTTCTGCTGGCTCTGTTTGTTCGAGTTCTAGCCATGGGGTTGACTGGGTGGCTCTTAAGGCGCGTCCACATTACTCGTGCTCGTGCTCGTGTGACTCGCTATGCTCGCTAGTAATGACAAGTCACGAGACAAGCAAATTTTAAATTTGTAATTTGAAAACTATAGCCAATAAATTTAAATACGACTACAGCCTATACACACTACGAGTAAATATACGGATCCTCACGCGCCGAAGCCTGGCGAGCAACTGAAGTAGTGTGGACGAAGATTTACGAGCACAAGTAAAAGCCAGACGAGTCTCCCGACGAGCACAAGCTTGGAGAGCACGAGCACGAGTAATGTGGACGCGCCTTTAGAAAGAGCGTTGAAAGCTAGTCAAATTGAACACGTAAGTATACAGAGGTTTCTCTCTTATAACCTGACATAAAATTTGTGTTATTATTGTTAGGGCCGTATGTGAAATATTATTTTTTAATTCTGAGAACTTAAGAATGATTGCTAAGCTAACATCCAAGCCAAGAGGCAATGCTGATTGAATGCCAGCAAGTAGAATTAAGGAAAGTATTGTTAATATTGATACACTCGGCTGAATTCAAAGAATTTAATTTTGTCAGAATAAATTACCTGGCAAAGCATAAATCCAAAAAGACACAATACACATCTTCAAGATTAGAGACTACTGAAATGTGGCATTATGATATATCACTTACCGCTGTGTATGCCTCATATATCAACTACAAAGTTTTCTGTGCCGTCTCACAACACGTGATATTTTGGCCGTTATATAATAAGTGATTGCATTGATTGTACCAGGAAGTCAATACGTCTATTATATGAAATTCACAACAGGATGCAAAGTATAAAAATAAATGTGCTGTGTATATGCTCTCAACATAAAGAATGCTTCCAGTAATTAAAACAGATATAGGCTGTCTCTTATTGATATAACAGCATCACACAACTGTTTCTGTACTTATTTTGGCTTGTTTTGGACTTCACCCATCGTCTGGTATGTAAGAGACAGAAGACCACGACGTTTCGGAGACTGGATCTGTCTCCGTCTTCAGGTGGGTGGGGAAGGATAAACCTACTCAGTTGGGCCCGTTAGAAAGAGCTAGTCTCAATCACTGGACCAACCTGAAGACGGAGACAGATCCAGACTCCGAAATGTCGTGGTCTTCTGCCTTTTACATACCAGACGATGGATGAAGTCCAAAACAAGCCAAAAGAAGTACAGTATACACCATCGTCAGAATCTTTTCAAGTCTATCAACTGTTTCTGATTGTCAGCACATTTAGCTTTGAATTAGAGGGCGGTTACTTGATTTATTTTTTCTAAGAATAAAATTTGGGTTTAGCCCCAAAGAACTTCACTAAAATTGATTATTTTATTTCTAAAGTCTGTGTGACTTCACTTGAAGGCAACCACGACATCTTCTTCTTCAACAGTTTCTGCTCAGTATTTCGACACAAAGATTAAAATTTGTGACATTCTTCTCTAGTTTTGTCTTAAGTATCCCAGACCGTTTAGTGTATTAGTAGTCGGTTTACTTTTTAATTTATAACTTCTCTTGCAAACACTGTAAAAATGAAATAATATTTTAGCAAAGATCTCAAAATGGTGTAATGTATTAACTTACCAAATTTCTGCTTTTGCACAGGCTTGGGTATAACTGAGATCTCACCACGGATCATGCAGTATAAACGTAATGTTCAGTCAGTACACAGTCATGGCAACCTCGGTTCGAAACCTCAGAAGCAGGTCTGCCAATCGATCCACGTCATTAGCGTTTGAAAGGGGGAGAGGAAGGAGGACGGGTCGGACTTATAGCGATATGAATTGTTTAGCTGTCATAACAATGAATTAGCACAGTATACAATAATAGAATTGTTACTGAAAGACTTCGTATGTTACAGAATCAATACTTTGATCCAGGCTCGGATATTATAATTTGCAAATCTTTTTATAGTTTATTCGGCTCTGTAAGTACAATGTCGTTACCTTTACGTTTCATTCACCATGTAAAATGAATTGTGATAATCCTGTCCGAATGTGATTATGAAAAAAAATGTTGCTTAACACTTGGCGGCCAATGCTGAGTTGTTCAAATAAAGCAAACTTAATATTAACGGTTAGTTTCCTGATGTACTTGAATATTCCACCTATTTATGAATTTGAGTGTTCCTTCCACCCTGTGTTGGCGATTGTTCTGCCGAGAGATCGCAGCAGTCTTCCAGTTCTTCAGGTTCCTGGCCCAGGGTGTAGTCCCTGATGTCTGTAGGGACCTCTGCAACCCAGATACATTGTAGTTATCGCTTCAGTTTCCTCAAGATTCAGAATAGGGCTAGTGTTTCTCTCTACCTGAGATTTAAGTGCAGTCCTTAATGGATCATTGACAAAGAGAGTGCATAATAATTAAATGTGCTTCAGAACTGGTATAACAGATTAGTGCCGGTCACGGTAGCTGAGCGGTCTAAGGCATGTACTGTCTTCGCTCGCTCGGAAGTCGGGAGCGTGGGTTCGAATCCCATACAGTGTATGGATGTTGGGTGTCTGTATGTGTTTATTCAGTGTTTATGTTGTCCTCTGTCTAGGTAGAGGCCTTGCGATGAGCTGATCACTCGTCCAAGGAATCCTACCGTTTGTAAAATGATCATGAAATAGAATATCAGAGGCCAGGGACCAAGGGAGCTGTCGGGCCGCGCCACAGCTCAAGCCGTTAGTCGCTGGTTTCCCACCGCGGCGGCCCGGGTTCCTTCCCGGGTCTGGTCAAGTGGGATTTGTGGTGGAGAAAGTGGCACTGGGGCAGGTTTTCTCCGAGTACTTCGGTTTCCCCTGCAAATCTTCATTCCATCAATTGCTCCACAATCACCCTCACCTATCATCTGGGGCTGATACAATAGGCTAGAAGTGGCCGCAGCAGTACAAGGGACTTAGTCCCACCACACTAGCAATAATAAAAAAGGGGGCTGTAGAGGCAGTGAAAGAAGAAGAAAAAAAATATAGGGAGCTCAGATGTATAAAATAAAATCGACTTCATTGTCATGAAATTCACTTCAAGTTAGGCGAAACTCTGACCACTGGTTAAATTTCATTACGCGGGACAAACACAGGCATGTATATCTCTACTTGAAGTAGCTTAAAATGGTTAAGAAAAATCGAAAATTTTGTAGGGAGAGAACATAAGTACCTCTGACCGTAAAAACGGTCCAGGGGACATCGATACTGCGCTTGCTGCGTTTGCCCAGTCGGGGTCCGAACCACATACCCGCTGGCTCTTCTCTGCCATCTCCACCCCTCTTCACCGGCACGCTCACCAGAGCACCGTCCTCATCAAGAAGAGCCTCTGTAGCGAAAACAAGCGATGAGCCGTCAATACAGGACCAAACAGAATAATTTATGTGCAGATGAGGGTCAGTGAATCACTTGGCATTGATTATTTGCTACCAATTTCTCAGCATTTGAGCGTCTATAGACATTAAAGCTTTGTTCAATTCTAATCGCTTTTTGCATTGCATAAGGGCACACAGAGGAAACGTTGGCCTTTATTTTTTTCTGCAGATAAGAAATAAACAATACTGTACATGAAACTCAAATATAGCTTAATAGAACATCTACGAAAAGGCGTGTCGTAGAGAAAATACAAGGACCTCTCTGAATTCTGTGACACTTAGTTCCCAATACAAATATTTAATCGAATAAACAAAGCAATATCTGAATACGGAGTAGCGGAACCCAATCTGTGATGTGGCTAACCTTAAAACAACAGACTTGTATATATTGTGACATGTAGGAGTTTTTAGGAAACAACTCGGTATAAAACAAGTTTCCATGGAGGTCGATTCCTAGAGACAACCACTGTACGTGCAAAACACGATTCCGTGTAAACGCAAGTTCAACAAACACTTCTTAAGGCGCGTCCACATTACTCGTGCTCGTGTGACTTGCTATGCTCGCTAGTAATGACAAGTCACGAGACAAGCAAATTTAAAATTTTTAATTTGAAAACTATAGCCAATAGATTAAAATACGACTACAGCCTATACACACTACGAGTAAATATACGGATCCTCACGCGCCGAAGCCTGGCGAGCAACTGAAGTAGTGTGGACGAAGATTTACGAGCAGAAATAAAAGCCAGACGAGTTTCCCGACGAGCACAAGCCTGGCGAGCACGAGCACGGGCACGAGTAATGTGGACGCGCCTTTAGGTTACGCACAAGCAACAAACATTTTCTATGGACATCGCTAGGTTACAAAAGGGGCCGTTCAAATAAGACCGCACGGAGTAGTACATGAGGATTCAAGTCAATCATGTAAAATATTGTAACGTGTACAACTAGGCAACGGCGCGATAGACACCCGCTTAAGGTCAAGCAACAATAGGACGAATGTTTATAGAAAGTCGCTGGGTAACAGTCAGTGCACAAATGGACTGGAGAGAGATATACCACGTGATTTGTTTCCTCTGTGGCCTGCGCCATGCAACAATAGAGGGGTTGTTTTCTGTGCGTGGTCCGTGCCGAGAGAATATGAGAGAATGCGGGAATAGAAATTGACTTCACTTGAGTTCCGAAGGTCCAAGGGAAGAGCAGTTTGGCCAGAACAAGAATTAGAAGACAGTGTGTGACGTTACATGTGCTATAGTTACAGTAATCTTGAAGAGTGTAAGAAGTAATTGTAGTTACGACTAGTGAAGATCCAATAAACCGATTGAACAATCCAAGCCCGCGCCTTACTCACTGAAACACGTGACAATATCTAGGTGTAATATCCGATAAGATCTTCGGTCGCTCAGAAGCCATGATCGTGGGTTCGAATCCCACACAAGGCATGGATGTTTGGTATGTGTATGAGTTTATTCTATGTTTGTGTTGTCCTGTGGTTAGGTAGACGCCTTACGACGAGCTGATGACTCGTCCAGGGAGTTCTACCGTCTGTAAAATGATCATGAAACAGAAAATCAGAGGCCAAGGCCCAAGGGGGCTGTAGAGTCAATGAAAAGAAAAATCTCCGATAAGAGGATTATATAGAGACTGCACATAGAAATGACTTAAGCCAAGGCCTTCAGAAAATTTATCAGAATCTACTTCCTGTTCAAAAGCGAGCGTGTAAGCGCCAAAATTAAAATATCCCTCCATAAGGCATTGATCAGATCAGTAATGACTTATGGGAATTAGCGGCAGACACATCTTAAAACAGCAGCGCCTACAAAACAAGGTTCTGCGCACTCTGATGAGAAGTCATTCGCAGCAGAAGACAGACAGAAGAGAAGACAGAAGAGAAGACAGTCGTAGTCCGGCCAGAATGGAGCGACTCTTAGTCAGTCATTCATTGTGAGCTGTTGTAAACTGATTGTGATTAAGAATGATTGTAAAAGAAGGTATCAGCAAATCCAATCATCCAATCCTAAACCCGTTACAATTAGTCATGCAGCCATGACCTCTATGTTGTAGGCCCTAAATTTCATGGCCCTCGGTGTTATTTTTTTTCCTTGGCACTACAGCCCCAGTGGGTCTAGGCCTACCTCCATGAACTTCTCCGTTCACCGGTGTTAATTTATTATATAATATTATAATAAATTAACATCGATGTGCATGAAATTTAGGGCCTACAACATAGAAAAATATATGTACTCTGTTGGAACACACTGAGAAATCTGAGGGACCACTTGGACCGAATATAATCCAGTCCATGTCCACGTAAGATATTTGTTAAAATAAACATTCGTTTTTCTTTTTATGGGCCACTTAACGAACTTCAGTAAGTATATTAGCGTCAGATAATGAGATGACGAATGATGCATTGAACAGACTCTGGAAGGAAGCGAAACACTATTGCAGCACTTTCGTGGAGGAACTGAGGAAGACCATGAAGGGCCTCAGTCAGGATACCCGGCGTACCGGTCGAGATTCGAACAGAGAACTATCAGAACCTCTATCCCAGTCTGTGCGGCAAAACTCATGCCAACACAAGCGGGACGCATTCTACTCACGAACCCAGTTGTTTACAGCCCTGTGCACACCAATACTAACCTGGTAAGGGCCATTTAAGGCCCGACCTCCCTACCCTCGGCATAGGAATGAGGCCGGATGATCCGCGTTTGTCCTTCAGGTATTGATCTGCGTGCACTCCTGCAACATGGAAGTGGTATTCATATATTATTAAGATTTATAGACTCTGCATTTCTGTTGGTTTATAATATTTCGCGGATTTGGGAATGACGGTAAAATTGAGATTTATTATTATGCGCAACAGTCCGTCAGCGCACCTTGTCCTAGGCCAGTTCAATGTGGTAAAATTCTTATGTCCTATTTTCTTAGAGTCACTTTAATATTATCTCTCAAATGGTGGAATAGTTGAACTTGATGGAAAACCATGAAGACGGAACATCTGTTACTAAAACTGAAGTTGAAAACAAAGTTGTGAGTAAGATACAGTTTTCATTTGTAGGAAGTCCCAGGTTAGATTCTCGGCTTGAAATCCAACCACGATGACTACGGTTTCTCGTAGTTTTTTTTTCAGTGTTTGTAAGAAAATATTATGAAGATTTTCTCCTATATACTTAGCTTTTCACCATTCATAATCATCCTGGCATTTCTTATCCGGCACTGTATGACGTATGTACGTGATGTATCATCATTAAGTAGCCCATATAACCAGATCCGATACTGAAATTTCAACAGTCGTACCTCTACGGCATCAATTGTTAATTCATTTCAATGAGCTAAACCGTTCATTTATTTTTCCTTGTGTTGTTTAACGACGCTTTCGCCATCGAGACTACATGAAGTCTGGCGGTATGATGACTCATGAATTGGAAAGGATTTGGAAGGTGGTGATCATAGCCTGATCGAGATACTGTCCTAACATTTCCTTGTAGGGTCTGAAGGAAAACACAAAAAGCCTGAGTCAGGATAGCCTGTGTCCCGGTAAATATTCGAACCAGACACCTGCTTAATACAAGTCTAGACTGTCATCTGTAGGTTAACCAGTTCGTTGTTCCCGTAATACCAATTGATTTTTAACTCCATGGTGCACTAGAAAATGTACAACAATTTTCATACCGATGCTGTGTCAGTAGGAAGCTGCTGGCTGGACGACCGAGGGGTCGGAGTTCGAGTCCCGGTAGGATCAAGAATTCTCTTCTCCACGTCGTCCAGACTGGCTCTGGGGTCCGCCAAGCCTTCTATCAAATGGGTACCCGGAGTTTCTTCCCTGGGGATAAAGCGGCCCGGGCGTGAAGTTGACCACTCACCTCCAACTAGTGCCGAGGTCAAGAATTCGTGGATTTATATATCCACTCCCCCAAACGTCTTCAAGGCGTAGTGCTTAATTATTTAGCACAGGGACAACTTCATCTTTACTTTATTGTGCCAGTAGATGTACAAGTTTCTGAGACTTGAACTGGAACAGTAAAGGACCAGAACAGAGACTAGGAATGTTATTGGAACTGGAAATAGAATTTCATCTAAGACGAGGACTTGAATTGGAACTATGATCAGAGAACGAGCTGGAACTGGGTCTGAGGATGGCATCTGACAAGTTGGGGGCCACACGCTGTTCAGCTGACACCTTCTGCTACGTACCGACAGTTATGTCTGCGTACAAACCAGAACTTTGAACATGGTGAGAAGAGAGACTCTCACGTTCTCTTGTGGGCGTGGAGTATATGAAAGTTGTTCCCCTGACTCAGTACAGTCATCCCCCTATTAATCAATATTAATCAGTTCCTTCAAAGGTCATCGATTAACGATTCGTTGGTTAACGAACCCAGTTTTAGTAATTTTCCTTGTTTTTAGTTGTAGGGCCCATAATTTCACTATTTTTATTCAGAAATTTGCAAAATATGATGAAAACAGCATTGACAAGAATGTACTGACACACTCCCAGAATTGCTGGCCGACGTGACTGAGCTGGTAAACACACTCCCAGAATTGCTGGCCCACGTGACTGAGCTGGTAAACACACTCCCAGAATTGCTGGTCGACGTGACTGAGCTGGTAAACATCGCCAATGAGCGGGCATTAGCGACTGTCGCTTGATTGCGAAACGACCATTGTTTGGGTATTTGGACAAGTTGTAGTATCGATGGATCGAATCGTCAGTTAGCGGGGAATGACGGTATGAAACTATATGAAACTATATTAATAATATTGTACTCTTCTCCTATTCAAGCTTAGCTCTTCCAACTGACTTCTTGACTGTAAGTGCATATTCACAGAACAATTTCATGTATAAATGCAATTATATGCCGGCAGTACATAGACTATTTTCAACGTGCATACTGTAACACTGGAAGTCACCCTGCTTCTGCACTGACCTGGGGTCACCGCTAGGAATGCGCGACCCACTCTGGGCATGCTGATTAAACCGGACGGTCCTCTGTTGCTCTTCCTGTTCGCTGGAACAATGTCACCTACAAAAAACACCAAATAAATATGACTCACAGCGGTGGTTATGAAGAGTTCTATCCTCTGGGATATAAGGTAGGGCAGTCCATTGAAAGTCAATCTGCGTTTCGAAGGAACATGTCGCCTCCATTGCAACTCAGGTAGCAAGCAGGCTTCTGTTTGTTACCTGCTTCATGCTGGTTTTCTTTCTTCCACCTTAAAAATGGAGGTGGGATATTCCTCCGAAACGCCCGTTCACTTTCAGGGGGTTACATGGCGTTATAACCGCCTCTGTGATCTAATGGTCAAGAGTTCCTGCCTACAGATCCAGAGGTCCGGGTTCGATTCCTGGCGCTACCAGATTTTCTGAGAAGTAGCGGGTCTGGAACGGGGTCCACTCAGCCTCGTGATGATAATTGAGGAGCTATTTCAAGGAAATAGCGGCTCCGGTCTAGAAAACCGAGATTAACGGCCGTGGGGATTCGCTGCGCTGCCACGCGACACCCTCTATCCGCAAAAGTTGGCGCTAACTTCGCCAACAAGTGGCGGTCACTCGGTTGGTATAGTTCGCTTGTGGACTCGAACCACGGAGTTTTCTTTAACATGGCTCTATATCCCAGGAGATAAAATTCTTCACAAGAAAATAGCGCAATTTTTAGATTAGTTTATAAATGGAAAATGAGATCTATACAACATACAACTCAAACAACGTAAGGAAGAGGATTAAGGTTTTCCAGGCTGCGTGGCCTCACATTCTTGAAGGCTCTGATCTGAGTAATCTCTACAGAGAAGATCTCATACCCCATTACTTAAGAAATATTCATCTCCATTAGACTGTGAAGAACGGAACGCAGATTAGAAAGATGGAGTTTTATAATTCTTAATTTGGTTCACACTAAAAGGTCGAAGGTGCGAAATTCTGAACTGAAAGCAACAAACCGCCATGAAAAGACTTTAATTTTTTATTTTGCATTTGGTTGGGAAAAAAGTTATCCCAGTAACAGGCCGTAAAGGCCAATAGGGTTGTGACGCTTCCACATTTTCTAGACAATCGGGTCACAGATGGAGGTGAGGTCAGCTTTTCGCGCCGGCCGTCCTTTACACCCCAAGAATGGGGCTGAGTCGACCCCAAGGCCATATTGTGGCTGGAAGGATTAGGTAAATTGAAAAAGTCCACCTCATTGGGACTCGAACCCGCCACCTTCCAGATTATAGCATATTACTTCAACTATGCTACTGCGCCCCTGCATTTTGTTCGTACGAATACAAACAAGAAGCAAATGTTAGTACATACCATGAAATATGTACAAAAATATATTCTCTGAATTTTATTCGAAATGGTTTCCATTTACTACAGTAAACTAACAAGGAAACCTAATGTACGCATATAAGAAGCACACTGTTAGGTTGCTTCCCAACAATACGTCTGTACCCGCAACAAATGAACATTCAGACCACAGATATATGCGTAATTACAAAAAACGCGTACAGAAAAGATTTCAAGCTACTCGGAAATGTAATATTTTTTTCCCATTCGCTCCTCTCAAGGACTGAAAAGCTTTAATCAACTGTAAAGCTAAAGCAGTGATTTTGATATTTCATGGGGGGGGGGGACATGAATCATAAATTTCTCATAACGTTCCGAAGTTTGCTGTTGGATATGTCATCACTCCATATCGACACTTCATTTGGTAGGGCACGTCTTCATTCCGATAATTAAAGTCAGTTTTTTGTTACATATTGCCATGTAGTCTGGAAAATCACCCAACATATTGGAGGAACATTTCGCCTCCATCTTCAGGGAAGATATGAGCTACCTAAGATAGGAGCATTAGACTTGAACTCTCTGCTCAGAGGACGGCGCAACTTCAGCTTGAGGACGGATAGGAGGTTGAGATAAACTTGTCCCTACGCTTAGTTAATTAAGCACCACGCCATGAAGAATTATGGGGTGTGGAGATATAGCTCCACCGTTCTTGAACTGGGGATTATATGGAGCTGAGCAACCAGTTTCATGCTCCGAGTGCTTTACACCCAGGGATAGAATCCCCGGTACCCATTGGATAGGTCTGAACAGGGTGGAGAAGAGAAGAAATTCGCCCCTACTGGGAAACGAACCCCAGCTATTCAGTTCGCAGCCCAGTCACTATATCAACCGAGATACCCCGGCTCAAGATAAGGAGAGTACCTACAACTATGTTGAGTTAGAAGCCGCGGACAGCCGACAAGGGGTTTGAAACCGGTATGAATATGAGATATTTGTTAACCTGTCAATATTTCATATGTTCCAAATGATGAGTTTTTGTGAGCATGATCATGAACCTTTGGATTCTGTGAAGAAGGAAATTCCTTTAAAAATTGTGATTCTTAAACATATACAGTACAACCTTCACGTCCTACAGCGGAATACATCAGTAAGTGCATCAAGACATACCTTGTGACTGAAAGGCCCAGGTCAGGTCCGAACGGCCGATCCGTGGCATGGATATCAGGCCAGAAGAACCTCTTCTGCTGTTCGTGTTGGTCGAAACGCTGTCAGACTCTTCCCCTGAAACCAAAGAAATATCACAATCGTTAGTTTTGCATATGAAATGGCAGACGGCGTTACGCACCATTCTCACGCACTAGAACCAAACATTTCCTGCCTCAGAATCGTTAACTATCATCTTACCAGTGCCTGTCAAACTCATTCGACTTCATTTCAAATAAAGGTCATATTGCAACGTATGTTTTTCTTTTCGTAAATAGTAACAGGCGAAAGTTGCCCCTCTGTAATTCATCACCGCGTTATTAGGACTTATGGAGAGTGGAGGTATAGCTCCACGCATTCTTAACCTCGGCACAAGATGGAGGTGAGTAAGCAGACTCAGGCCGCGGTCGCTTTACCTCATAGGAAGGAACAATTGGTACCCCTTGGACGAGGGACTGTGGGCGGGGGATAGATCCGGTCTGGACGCTGTGAAGTAGAGAAATATCTCTAGTTCCTCCCGCGTATCCAACTCCATTTTTTTTAGTTCCTTCGTGTGGGTTGAACTGAGTCCACTTGGTACGACGGCCACTGTTTGGACTATTTACAAGTTCCGGATGATAGATTAGTGAGGTGCATTTGGTGGAACGAGAATCGGCAATGGAAGCCGAAATACCAGGAGAAAATCTACCCCCAGTGTCACCATGTCCACCACAAATCCCACATGACCTGACCTGAGCTCGAACCCGGGCCACTGCGGTGGAAAGCCGGCGGCTAGTATATTTGTTAAGGATTTGTCTGGACGGACTGACTCAAGATGTATGAGGCTCCGTTGAGATCTCAACCTGTCCCTTCAGGTACATTACAGTCGAACCGACCCGTTTAGGCCCGCTAGAGGCCGTAGTACCAACGGGTTTTGTCCCATCGCACTCCTTCAAGTAAATAAATAATGTTTTTAAAATGTATGGTGAAGAGATGTTACCGAAGGAATTATACTAGTAGAGGAAACAGCTAAGATTACGATAGTGTTCTAGTGTAAAAAAATAAAAATTAGATTCACTGTTGAGGAATAAGTATTCAAATTGGCAAGAAGTTGGAATTATAGATCTATATTGAATGAATGAAAACTGATGCCGGAAGCAGCGTCATCAGCGGCGACTTGAAGCACAGAGCAAATGATGCTCGAGATGGTTCAAGTTCGTATAGCAACAGGCGTGACCAGAGTGGTTTGAACGGCTGCTGTACTGCGATGTGGAAAGCAAATGGAAAAACTACCTGGATAGTCTCTTTCCAAAAACAGAAGATCGCATTAAGTGGAGAAACTGTTTTGGAAGAGGCTGTGGACCTGTCATCTGACAGATTACTGATGAATGAATGAATTGAATGAATAATCAGTGAATACTAAAACTTCACTGTTGACTGACGTTACACGATGAAACAGAATGAAATAGGCCCCACATGTAATTCTTCAAAAACGTACGGCAAGAGGACACTGTATTAAAAGGATAAGACAAATGTTATTTCATCACAGTCTAAAAGAACTAAAGATAGTTCAGTCGGCGTAGCGACGGGCCACGGACTGGATGGCCAGTGTTCGATTCTCGGTAGGAGAGAGAGATTTTTCTCCACTCCACAGCGTCGAGATCGACTCCAGGGCATGCTTCCTATGTATTAGGTAGAGGATGGTTTTTTCACTGGGCGTAAAGTGGCCGAGGCATGAAGCTACCACTCCTCTCCATCTAGTGCCGAGGTCTGTGCCGAGTGGAGCTGTACCTCCACTCCCCTAAAGTCTTGGTGATTTAGTGCTTAATTAATTAAGCGTATGGATGATTTTACCTTTTTTTTTTAAATTCGCATAGTGGGGGAGTGGAGTCCAGTTGGGTCCACTCGGCACGGCGGCCACTGATTAACCTATTGTAGCCTGCCCGGGTGATTACGATGATGGAGAATTTGGTGGAATGAAGATTGGCAGGGGAAGCCGAAGTACTCGGAGAAAACCCATCCCAGCGCCACTTTGTCCACCACAAATCCCACTTGACAGACCCGGGATCGAACCCGGGCCGCCGCGGTGGGAAGCCAGCGACTAACCGCTTGATCTATGGCGCGGCCTCAACGATTTTACCTTACTTCTCTTTTATATTTCTTAATTTCGATTGCGTTCAGAAGATCCTTATTTATAAGCGTGATTCATTTTCTTTTCAATTATATTGAAATCCGTACGACATAAGGGAAAAATTGCACAGGATATGAAATGTGTTTTATTTTTCTGTTCGAAATATTTTACTCTTCGTTAAATGTTTAGCAAGTTGCGATCAGGGTTTGCGCAGAGACGCATGTTGGTCTACATGTGAAGTGGTCGTTAAAATTCCTAGGTCTAAATTAAACTTAAGATATCCTGAAAATATTTCGTAAAATTCTGCAATACCAAATTACATGAAAATCCATCTTTATATTTAGAGGCATACAGACAGATGGACGGACGGATGTACTAAGGAAACTTCAGTTAAAAAATAATTCGCATGCTTGAGGACGCGCCTAAAAAACTGTTTAATAGAGATGGGGCATGTGCCTTGTACCCATAATGCACCAGTTATACTTTATGTTAACGGTTTTGGAGTCTCGTATCTGGTGGATCTTCTTCTGCCGACTGTGAATATACTTGGCGCTATTTCAAAATTTATGGAAGACTGGCAGAGATATTTACATGGAATTCAACACTGAAAAGAAATCAGACAGCACAGAAAAGTTACAAAATTGTGTAAAGATATGATTACCCCATAGCTGATATAACTATATAGAGCATGGTCTCCTGTTGAAAATCTGATAGTCACTCAATCTGTCGATATGTCGGTGCCTTTGGTGGAAACCTAACTTTAACTATTGAGTTCACCAGAGCCGACCACCGGACTCTATCCTGAGCTAGTTATATCTAGTCCATAAACTAATTTCTCTAGGTACAATATTGAGGCGTGCTGCCTGAAAGCTGGGCTAAAATATGTCCATCGCTAGTCAACGGCTAGTAATTCCTAGGCAGCGATGCCAAGGAAATAAAAGTCTAACAGTGGGGTTTCTACCGTTACAAACGAATTGTTTGAAGCAGACACGTATTCCCGCGTTCGCTGCATAGCAGCGGGCGAAATTAATCCTTCGACAAGGTTCCCTATTGAGTTCAAGTTCAATATATAACAGTTCGTATTCGGCAAGAGACCAGCAGAGTTTTTAGACTTTAGCAGGAGTGAGTTCGTATTCGACAAAGGACCAAGGACAGTTGAGCTCCGAGCAGAGCAGAAGACACTTCACCAAAATCAGCGGTGCAAGTAACTGTAATAGAGAAGAGGAAACATCTGACGATGTTATAAGTCGAGAATAATTGTACTTGTGAGTGTAAAGAGTGATTGGCCAATAAACATATTCGTTAAAATCCGAACCCACACAATTTCTTGTCGCGTTGCCTAACAAACACGTGACATTATTGTTATCTTCTCATCTATCCCATTATCTCCTAAGCAGTCATCTTTATTCTACTTTTTCGACTGAATTGTGTACTACATGTCTCACCCATGTCACCACTGAAATGGGTAATCAACCGTATTACTATTTTGTGAAAAATAATTATTATGAGACTTCTCGCAGTATAATTTTTCCAGTCTCTCCTTGTTTCACCTCTCTTCTCTCAGCACCCAGTTCTCAATCTGCTTTTTGCCTTTGGACTCAGAAACCAGAGTTCAAATCCACAGGAACACGTTTATCGATACTCATGTAAAGTAAAGTAAAGGTATCCCTGTAACAAGCCGTGGAGGCCCATAGGGTTGTGAGATGTTGAAGTTCCCACATTTTCTAGACAATCGGCTCATAGATGGCGGCAAGGCTGTCAGCCCTACGCGCCGGCCGCGCTTTACCTCCAAGAATATTCCGGGTACTCATTTCTATTAGGGGCTGAGTCGACCCCAGGGCCATAGTGCGGCTGGAAGGATTAGGTCAATTGAAAAAAGAAATCCAATGACCTCGTCGGGACTTGAACCCGCGACCTTCCGGCTTGTAGCATAGTGCCTCAACCAACTACGTTACCGCGTGCCCCCGATACACATGAAACGATATAAAAATTTACTTCTTGGTAAATGTTGAGGTATGAACATGTATAAGAGTAATTTATAATCGCAGTAGTAGTTCTCCTTAATGGACAAACATTGTAATGAATGCATAAGAATTAGGCTGTACACTATATGTATACTACAAACATATTACGGGATAGTACAGCACCAAAGCTGCCTTGTAAATCTGAAGTTCAAGTTCGAATTTAACAGATAAGACAACTGAGACTTGTGTCGAATTGTACGACTGATTCTAATGTGTACTGTCTACAAATACAAGCTAATTTTGATATCTATTTTGCATTCGAATCTACAGGAAAACTGAAATACGAATTACATACAGATTATGCGTAATTTTTAAAATTAAATATTCCGCAGAGTAACACCACTTATTGTATTAAAGAATTCAATTCGTGTCCACAAAATTTTCGGTAAGAATTAGTCCTTTAACGTTCCCGCAGGTTATACAAGTACACAAAGAGACGGAACTATTCTTAGAGGATTTTAGGAACATGTAAGAAGATTTAGGAATTCTATAAAAGATTATTAAAGCCGCCCAGTGTTATTGTTGAATCTTGTTTTTAATAACACAGCGCGGCCCGAACAACTGAACGACGCTAAAGCGTCCTATTCGTCAAAGAGCAGAATAACGACGCGGTATACACCCACCTCCTTTAAAGACAAAAGGTATAAAGGACACGAACCAATTGGTTCCAGGTTTTAACAAATATATTTTAAACCATACTTATAAATAGACTAATTATAATGATATACAAATCTTGCACATCGTAGTAATTGTTTAGGGCTAATATTTTATAAGCATGACATTGTAATAATAGTTACCGTACGGATTGATATGTCCTTCTGAAGATGTTCGCTCCGACCGAAACACGTGAAGGATGAAAGATTAAAGAACACAACATTTTTCAATCACACTAGACGGCGTTAATAATCTTTTATACTGTTCCTAGTGTGACGGACCAGGATGAACCAAATCAAATTTAGGAATTTCCTACACCTCCACTAGTCGTACACAGTTACTAACACTCGAATGGATGAATTATTCCAACACGCGTGCTAAAGCATTCAGCAGAGGGAAAGGTGTCTACCAAAATGAAGTATCAATATATCATACATCGCATTGAAATTTGTCTCCGTTTATTGTAAATGTAAATATAATGTGGAGAACTGGTCACACTCCAACATTTAAATACTCTTATCCATTTAATTTCATTTAATATAGATCACACCGAAAAAATATTTGAAATAAGAACACATAGATCTTAATGAGATTTATACTTTATTCTCTGTTCCAAATTTATATAAGGGTAGGCGATCTTTGAGAAGATTTAATTAACTTTATATGAGTTTCGCGTAAAGAAGAGATTAATATGGGCTTTAATGATCGCAAATATTGTAGCGAAATTATTTTTTTTAGACTTCCAATAATAAATTTCGTTGAAATCCGGCGAGTAGTTTCTGAGAACATATACCGAGACATAGAGACACAACCATCCCAGCTTGGGATAATTTTAGATGCTTCGTGCAATGAACGCATACAAATTAGCGGGATTTGGTACGTACCGTCACACCGAACTGACGAAGCAAGTAGAATTAGTTGAATCATCGCATAGCAAATGAAAACGTGTCTCATGTTGGGGCCTCCGTCTGCCTTACTCCTCCAGTTTCTGCAGCTGACCCAGGGATGTCGCTTGATGAAGAGTCAGTGGTTGAGACAGGCACCATCTTTTATAAGGCTCTCAACACCAGGGGCTGTAGCACCCTGGCGGACCTGCGTGATGTTAGTAACAGTGCCACTCCCTCCTCAGCCTTTTTTTATTTTGCAATTACCTGCTGGACGGCGATGTTTCTGTAACACCCGTCCACCTCTTCAACCCCTCCAACCCTCCATTCTTACACACGTCTTCTTTACTCCCATGTTCGCTTCCCAAATTAAATTTGTTAAACTCTGTCCTGAGGCAAGTAGCTGAAACAAGTCATCAGTGTGGAAATAGAGTGTGGGCATAACGACACCCCCACCCCACCCCCATATTGCTAATCTGCCTGGAACAGAGGCTCAGTGGCGAACTATGCATTGAACAGACAATTAAGAAACTGTCTCTGTGCTTAATTAAGCATGACGTTGTATCGTATGAGGGAATGGAGGTACGTTTCCACGCATTCTTTATCTGGGCACTAGAATTTGAATGAAAGAGTTTCACATCCCGGCCGCTTTGTCCCCTAGGAAAGATCTCGGTACCGACTAGACGGAGAGAGTTTTTTTTTTTTTCAATTCAGTTTCGTCTGCATCAGCTTTCACGAATGACTCTCGACTCAGGTTCTACAGACCAAACTGAAAGAATTCCGAGATCAATGAAGACTTTAGAAAAGACGGAGCGAAAATGTGAAATAGAAAGACGGTTGATTGCCAATGCCGGCCTTTCGCAAAAATAAGAAACATAGCCCCCGGGAAAAATCGGCTAATGAGAAACTGAAGAATTAATTTTAATTTTAATGGGCTATATTAAATTACAAATTTATAATTTCTTAGACAAAGTACTTCATATATAGTATTTCATTATTGTTTATTAGTCATTTTTATTTCCATTAAAATAATTATACACATTATACACATGTATAAGATGTTATGACATATCTGTAGATTTGGTGGGTAAAGGGGTTAAAGCGTTTTAATTCGCAAGGGAGTCTCAGATAAAAAACAGGTTAAGAAAACAGTGTCCTATTCTATAAAGTGGAGAAGAAGATTTTCTTGTTTCTCCTTTTCATTATTATTCTGAGAACAACGAATGCCTTAAATACGTGATAGAACTCTTTGGACAGTAGATCGGCACAACGTAAGGCCACTTCCTGTACTGGACATCAGAGCAGAGAAAAACACGGAAATACACCCACGCCATGAGATATATATCGAATCATAATATTACGGTAATCGCCATGCAAATAAATGATTGTATGAAATAAATAAGCACTCTGTAAGTTATTTATATAAGTCATAGCTGCACATTCTGCAGAGGTCAGGCAACCTGTAGCCCGCGTGCCATTCTTGGTCACCAGGGTTCCCAATGTGACTTGCCGATCATTATCACGAACGAAATATTTAAAATATTAATATTCTCCATTCTACATATTTAAATTAATGTTTCTATGATTTTCTACATTACATTAGAAATTGTATTTGTATAAATATATTATCGGGAAACTAATGTGACACTGTGCTTAGATATATTAATTTTTTATTTTTCAATAAATCAAAAACAATTAAAATAATTTATAAATCTATATAAGGGTTACATGTTAAGTTTAAATTACTTAGGTACCAAATTCTGAGTGAAGAACCATTTATTACTAAATTAGTTTCAATATGTGTTAAATCCAGAGGTCCGGGTTCGATTCCTGGAGCCACCAGATTTTTTCTGAAATGTAGTCCACTCAGCCTCGTGAAGATAATTGAGAAGCTATTTTAAGGAAATAGCGGCTCCGATCTAGAAAACCGAAATTAACGGCCATGGGGATCGGTTGCGCGGACCACGCGACACCCCTCTATACGCAAAAGTTGGCACTAAACTTCGCCGACAAGTGGCGGTCGCTCGGTCTGTATAGTTCGCTTGCGGACTACATGTGTTCCATGTATATAAACTTCATGCCGCTACGCTGCGGAAAAGCATTAACAAAAAAGTACTGACATGACGACTGAGAGCCTAAATAGTGGAACCAGAATAGCACCGTCGCTATGTAGCAGCTAGGTAAACAAGTTCCTACTGCAAGGGATAATAACACAACAGAGGAAATGATGGAAGAGGCGTTTTTACGCGGTTCATGCCGAGGCTTCTTTCCAGCATGGAAGTAGAAGAAGTCGCGTGTGGAGGCAGGGTCGAATGTTTCCACCGCAGCCTGCGAGTCGTAGGAGGCAATGAAAATGGAACCCAGTGCCTGGGGATATAGCCGGGCCACCCTGTTCCTCGGGGATATAAATACGGAGATTTGGCCCTCCAGGTTGGGGAATCTCCTATCTGAGAGAGTGAAATGTAGTCACGAGTCCCGAAGGACTCGGACCTGAGAACGACTGCGCTGGCGAGGACCAGCAGCAATTGTAAACGACAGACCTATCCTCTCTTCAGAGAGGATGTTGCATGAAGACTATAGCAGCAAGTGTTCAGCTGGAAAATAAAATTACTGGTCGTGATTCTCAAGGGGCTTGTCGCTAAGACGAACTGAATGGAGGTAAACCGCCAGTTGTAAAGTAACTCTGACTCTTACTCTGAGAAATCGAAACCACGGAGGCGTAGAGGCCGACGAAAAGCAATGATATTTGGAGTTCCCAGGGACAACGGTCGCCAACGAGCGAGTACAGTAGTACTGAACATCCCGTCTGCTGGTAGTGCGGGGACGTCGAACAACTCAGGAGAAACTACAGACGGGGATAACCCCAGAGACAAGGAAAGGAGAGGAAGAAACGAAGAGGCGTAGACTCCATCACTCGCGCCTCATAGTTACACAATCTGCGTGTTAGCAAGGCAGGGCCATGACAGTTTGATCGCAGATGGACGGATTGGGGATACAGGAGTATCAGTGTCGATTGCAAGACCGTCAGTCGCAATGTGACTTGGACTTGGACTTAGGGGTGGCAGGGTCGAATACCTCCACCGTGACCCTGCGAGTCGTAGGAAGTGACGAAAAGGGAAGTCTCAAATCTGAGACAGTCGTGAGTAGTCGTGAGTACCAAGGGACTTGAACCCGAGAAAGACTGAGCTAGCAAGGGCCAGCAGTATATACAAAAGACAGACCCGTCCTCTCGTCAGAGAGGGCGCTCCACAAAAAACAAGACCGTAACTGTCAAACAGTAATAAATACCTTATCATGAGCCCCAGATGAGGATCGACATCAAGACTTACTGAGTGACTGACTGACTGACTGACAGTCAGTTGCAATTTGTTTTTGACTTTTTGAGAATCGACAGTCAAGTTCCGGAGTTCCAAGTGAGTAGTTATTCGAGAGTTGAGCTCTGCAGTGGAGGCTGAGAAGATGGCTTTAAGACTTGTATATGTAATAATACAAATTCCGTCGTGAATGCAACAATTTATTTGGTTGCAATTCTTTGTCTTTTCTTCCTCTACATTGTATGTTTCGGCCGTAATTGGCCATCATCAGGTGTTTTTTCACTACGTAGCTGTCACACTGCACATAGTCCAAAATCTAAAACATCAGCCTGTGGGCAAAAGTATTAAAGATGAGCAGTGACACACACACAAGGAGCCTGCACAGAATAATACATGAACGGTGCTGAAAAGAAGAAACAGCCGCTGCAGCACATGTAGACAAGAGCCGGTGTCCCTGGTATTTAAAACTTTAAATTTTAGAAATTTTAAATTTTAAACTGTAATTCTAAAATCAAATTGATGATCGTGTGTTGGCGAGATTTTAAAACAAAACNGTGGGGAGCGCTAAACAGCGGGCAACGGCGTGACCACGGAAGCTGAAGAATCTCTACTCTGTTAAATACGCTGCCAAGAAACGGCTAGTGGAGGGTGTAATAGGATGAGAAGAGTAGTCTCTGTGTGTCACTGAATTGTGAAATGTAGTTCCGAGTGTTGTATACAAGTGGTCAATACATCCANAAATACATCCAATTCACCAGTCCATACCCCGTCTATAGTCACACATACACTCGTGGCATTATGGTGTCAGGCATAGGGGTGACTTATACGACGGGATTTTGGATAGGATAGCTTGATTTATTGGATTGAAGACTGCAGTGGTTGGTTGTATAGTCAGCCTACACGATGGAACAAATTATGGAACGCCTATTGGCCAAGACTGGCGCCACCCAAGCAATGCTGGCAAAGATGAAAGCCAAGCTGAAGACCTGGCGAGAAGAGAGGACGGCCTGCCAAGCAGTAACGTAAGGCATGTCTGGAAAGTAGGGTCCGAAGCGGAGCACGAGGAAATATCTAAGGAAGAGGCTGCAGTGAAACCTGTCGAAGCACTGAAAAAGCGGCATAGGGGCCGGCATCTAGCCGCAGGGCACCGCGGGAAGCCGAAGGCACAGCTTCATGGCCAGGTTGGGTCCGGAAGAAACTGGCTGCCGGCAGCAAAGGGATGACCTGCCGCGCAGGAGTGGAACGGCGTAAGGGACGAGCAGCCTTAAGGAGGGAGCAATGGTAGCGGGTGGAGAATGAACACCGCGGAAAAAACGAGCAACTTGATGGAAGGTGACACGTCACAGGCAGAGAACTCGGAAAGGAAGGAACGGTGACACACCGCTAGGCTACTTGGGACGACACATCTATAAATTGCTAGGCAACGACTGGGTGAAAAGACCAGTAAAAATACGTGACCAACAATAGAGTACACCCATTGCTAGGCAGAGACTCGCTAAACACAATCCCGCAGAAGCAAACAAGCGGAACAAACAAACGTCTATTGCTATGCAATGGAGCTGTAAACACGCTCTTTAACAATACAAGACAGTGTTTTCCGCCTCGAGGCTATACAACGAGCATCTCAATTAACTAGAATTATAATTGGGTTCAGTTCTGAAGATGGCAGTCGAAGGTGACTGAGAGGAAATGGCAAGGAAGGAATTAGACTGTGCCAAGAAGAAGTGAAGAAGTTGAAGTGATAGTGAGACAGTGATAAATCCGTTGCCAGGATACGATCAGTGAAAACTGCGCAACGTTGAACTGAAAGTGTATAGAATAGCGATAGCGCTATAGTTTCCTATAGTCCCGAACT